TTTGTGCAAGCCCAAAAATTCTAGGGGGCCCGGGAATTAAATGCAATGCTATGGCAGGCAACAATGATATTAGGTACAGGTCTGTGGCTGTTCATTCCAGGGCCGACTAGAGGGAATGATCTCGGTAATTGGTAGGAAGAATAAGGCCGTATTTGACAATGTATAGGGCTGAGTTAGAACTGGCCATTTTCAAAGGCTTGTTGAAACCACCAGGTCTTCAAGCTCTTACGAAAGGAGGGGAGGGATGGGGCCTGTCTTATTTCCCTTGGAAGGACATTCCAGAGACGGGGGGCCACCACTGAGAAGGCCCTCTCTCTTGTCCCCACCAAACGCACTTGAGACGGTAGTGGGACCGAGAGGAGGGCCTCCCTGGAAGATCTTAGAGTTCGCGCCGGTTCACAGACCCATCTTTAAACCTCTTTTGCTGTCCTCTGACATTTTCCATTCTTGAGTCGAAAGTAAAGTAACTGCTTTGGGAGACAGGGATCTTTGGGCATTCGGACAATGTGGCCTTGACTCCAGTGGAGCCGATGGCAGAGGATCGTTGTCTAAATGCTGGTGCTCTTTACTTCTTCCAGAACATTGACAGCCAGCTGCAAAAACAATGCCAAACTTCCAAAGGTGTCCACAGAGACAGGGTATTCTGGAAAGGATTTTTTTTAATAAAAAAAAAACTTGTCTTCCCAGAATTTTTTGCTTTCAAGAAACCTCCTCCAAGAAAAAAACTGAAGACATTACTCCTTGGAGGCAATAGCCTTCCCTTTCTAACAGCGCAGTGGCTACTTGGTCTGCCTCTTCTTGCCTTGGCTGCACCCACAGCCATTTTGCTACTGTTGCTACATCATTCTCCGTATTAGTGTATGAGCAACGGACAACAGGTTGAGCAGAAGAAGGTGGTGTATCCAACTCCATTCTTTTCTTTGCAAGTAAAATGAATGTATATAATGTAAAATCTATATAAATAAAAATGTAATGTTCGTTTGTGGGATTAACATAACTCAAAAACCACTGGACGAACTGCCACCAAATTTGGACACAAGACACCTACTACCCCAAGGAGTGACCATCACTTAAAAAACCTGTTTTTGTCATTTGGGATTTGTAGCTGCTGGGATTTACAGTTCACCTACAATCAAAGAGCATTCTGAACTCCACCAACGATGGAATTGAACCAATCTTGGCACATAGGACTCCCATGACCAACAGAAAATTCTGGAAGGTTTTGGTGGGCATTGACCTTGAGTTTGGGAGTTGTAGTTCACCTACATCTAGAGAGCACTGTGGACTCAAACAAGGATGGATCTGGACCAAACTTGGAACGAATACTCCATATGCCCAAATGTGAACTCAGATGGAGTTTGGGGAAAATAGACCCTGACATTTGGAAGTTGTAGTCACTGGGATTTATAGTTCACCTACAAAGAGCATTCTGAACCCCACCAATGACAGAATTCCCACACAGAACCCCCATGACCAACAGAAAATACTTAAGGCCACCCATACCAACTCCCTTCACCAGGGCAAGAAAACGTAATCAAAGCTCTCCTGACAAAGAGCCATCCAGCCATAGATATAGATAGATAAGATTCACACACACAGATATAGTATCATAGATTTGAAAGGGACCCCCTAAAGAAGGACAATGATATGTTGCATGTTCCAGAGTAGGCAAATCAGACAAAGAAGCAGCAAAAAATACTGTTTACCCACAAGCATAAAAAAATTACATATATTAGACACCAAAACTTTCTCATTACTTTATTTTCCAGATCACCAGACTGGGCCACAGCAACGCGTGGCAGGGAATGGCTAGTGATAAATATAATGTTTAATTTTGCCCCCTTCTATAGAAGTTACCACATGCATATTTATAGAGATTTGTGCCTCTTTTTAAGTAGTGTTAAGGGCAATTTCATTTGCAATCATAATATCTCAAACTCTGCAATTAGACTACATTCCATAAGTGACTATTTCAATGGCACCATTTGCAATCTAGCAGTCCAGACATTGTTCCTTTGAAAGCTCTTAATGCATAAGCTTCACTCCAGTTTTTGTTGGGCACGAGGACTCACATTGGCCGACTCAGAAGGACTGGATAAGCCTGGAAAGACAAAGCATTGACTTGTACCTACATTTGGGATAAGGAAAGATGAACAGAGGACACGAACCTTTTAAACAGAGGCTGGATGGCCATCTGTCAGGGGTGATTTGAATGCAATATTCCTGCTTCTTGGCAGGGGGTTGGACTGGATGGCCCATGAGGTCGCTTCCAACTCTTTGATTCTATGATTCTATGCTAACAAGCCTTTTTGACAACCAAGCTCCATTTGGGGATTCCCAGCCAAGACAACAGAAAGAGTTTTGATCATGCCTCCTCCAAGGCGATCCAGTTCACGGTGCCGAGAATCATCTCCGTAGGGAGAGGATTTGCATCAATGGAGCCAAGTCCAAGAAAGGATGAAGTGACAGTACAGTGGAGGAAATGCTGCATGAAACTATGACTGGAGAAAAGCCAGTTCACAACAGAGCCAGGTACTTTAGCTGATGCAGTTTGGGGCAACTGAACACCCCAGACCTTTTGCAGCCTTTGCCATCGCGTGCAGCAAAGAGATTGACATAGCTTCCTAAACCCAGAGTATTTTTTGCTTAAAAGCCATCAGAATGTGTGGCCTGGGGAAAGGAAGGAGCATGCCTATCATAAGCAGCTCAGGAAATTCTATTATTAACCACCAGAGCACAAACGTCTCAGAACTGTGGAGACTCACAGATACCAGCATGGATCACAACATTAATGTGTTTTAAGGCGTTGATTTTTAAAAAACGAATGGACAAAATGATATGCATTTTCCCAATGCCACCAATGTGTTTTTCACCTAGGAGTCCATCAAATGGATGGGGAGAAAGCAGGGGAAAGCGGAGAGAACTATCTTACTCCACTTAGGCAGGAAAAACGAAATGCAAAGTTACAGAATGGGGGACAATGCCTGGCTCGAGAGCAGTATGTGTGAAAAAGATCTTGGAGTCCTCGTGGACAGCAAGTTAAACATGAGCCAACAATGTCATGTGGCGGCAAAAAAAGCCAATGGGATTTTGGCCTGCATCAATAGGAGCATAGTGTCTAGATCTAGGGAAGTAATGCTACCCCTCTATTCTGCTTTGGTTAGACCACACCTGGAATATTGTGTCCAATTCTGGGCACCACAATTGAAGAGAGATATTGACAAGCTGGAATGTGTCCAGAGGAGGGCGACTAAAATTATCAAGGGTCTGGAGAACAAGCCCTATGAGGAGTGGCTTAAAGAGCTGGGCATGTTTAGCCTGAAGAAGAGAAGGCTGAGAGGAGACATGATAGTCATGTATAAATATGTGAGAGGAAGCCACAGGGAGGAGGGAGCAAGCTTGTTTTCTGCTTCCTTGGAGACTAGGACGCAGAACAATGGCTTCAAACTACAAGAAAGGAGATTCCATCTGAACATGAGGAAGAACTTCCTGACTGTGAGAGCCGTTCAGCAGTGGAACTCTCTGCCCCGGAGTGTGGTGGAGGCTCCTTCTTTGGAAGCTTTTAAACAGAGGCTGGATGTCCATCTGTCAGGGGTGCTTTGAATGCAATATTCCTGCTTCTCGGCAGGGGGTTGGACTGGATGGCCCATGAGGTCTCTTCCAATTCTATGATTCTATGAATGCACAAACTCCTGCTGCATCTTGCTTTCTCTCTCTCTAAAGTCTCAGCCGCAGGCACTGAAAATGAAGCTGTAGCCCTGAACCCTCTCCTTCTTAAAATGCACCTCACTGGCAATTGCGCATTAGTACTGACATGATTTGAGAAGTAAAGTAGAAGTGCAAAAGCAGAGTATCACACACAGAAATGTTAACACACAATTCCAAAATGGTGTGGAGTCTTATGCTACAATTCTTCATGTTCTAGGGGACAGCAGCAACTGTAACATAGAAAAGCTACAATGCTATAATTCTTCATGCTCTAGTTCCCAAGACAAGAGTGACCGCTTCCTTGCAAAACAAGGCTAGAAACTTGTGGACCTCCAGATGTAGTCAGTTTCCATTTCTATCACATCTAGCCAAGTTGGACAGTTGGGTGGATTGATGGGACTATCAGTCAATCAGCATCAATCAGTATGCATGCCCAGTGTGGAACACATCTCACCACACTAAAACAGTAGATGTGGCTCTTAATAAGACATGCCGCTTTATCACGGGGTATCTGCGCCCTACATCACTGGAGAAATTACACTGTTTAGCCAGTATTGCACCACCTGACATCGGCCAGGAAGTAACAGCCAATAGTGAAAGGACCAAGACAGAGACATCTCCAGCTCATCCCTTGTTTGGGTATCAGCCAGCACGTCAACGACTTAAATCAAGAAATCGTTTTCTAAGATTTACAGAGACACTCGCTGGAAGACCTCAGCAAGTGAGAGTCCAAAAGTGGCATGCTCAAACCCAGAACCTCTATCAATGGCTGATACCAAATGAGAGATTCCCTCCTGGACACACAAAAAACTGGGCAACTTGGAAGGCGCTGAACAGACTGCGCTCTGGCACCACGAGATGCAGAGCCAACCTTAAGAAATGGGGCTACAAAGTGGAATCCACAACATGCGAGTGTGGAGAAGAGCAAACAACAGACCACCTGCTGCAATGCAACCTACATGCACAATGGAGGACCTGCTTGCAGCAACACCAGAGGCACTCCAAGTGGCCAGATACTGGTCAAAGGACATTTAATCAACTATCAAGCTTGCAAACTTTGTGTTTCGTTTGTTTGTTTAAAAATGCAATACAACTGTTTGGTTTGCTCCTGACACGATAAATAAAAGCATAAAAAAACCACAGGTTCTGGCCTTTTGCCAAAGAGTCCTTTCAGTGAAATGTTGCCCTTCACTGTATCTTGCCCTTCACTGTATCTTTTAGACATGCTAGATATCTGACCAAGGAGCTTCCCAATAGAGGAAATCTATTTGAAAAAGCACACAAGCTCCTACCTGCACATTTTGTCCTGCTGATGAGAGGAGGCCCTGCTTTGCCCATGCCTCCTTCCCCTGGTCGAGTGAGCAGGACGCTGATTTCGTATTCCGTGTCAGGATCCAGGTGCCATAACTTGTACGTCTGCATATTGACAGCATGGACTTCTGACCACGGTCCAGAGGTCATGCGGTACTCAATTTCTTTCCTTACGATAGGGCCATCCCCAGTGATGGAGTTGGTGTTGAGCTGAATGATCAGGTATGTCGAGCCTGCTCTCAGTAGCTGTGGTGGGGCAATGGGTGTGGGGGGCTCTGTGAAAAATGGCATACAAGCAGTGAGTGGGTTGGATTGTCTTATAACATGGCCATCAAAATGCAGTTGGAGGCAAGGTTTGCACTGGCCTAAAATGAACAGCTGTAGAAATATCCTGTTAGTAACCCAAGCCAATGTAATACAATAACTAGAGGGAGTCCCAGGTTCATGTCTCCATTGGCTACTTCAATATGTGTGCATATATAAATCATTCTCCCCGCATTTTCAGCATTGAAAAGCAAAACAGAAGCTTCACAGGTTCCTGTGGTTTGCTGTCAGGAGTTTTTAATACTGGTGACCAGATTTTGTTCATTTTCATGGTTGCCAGTATTAAAAAAAACACCAGAATCAAGACAGTAAATAAGGGACACCACTCAGGAACAGGAGAGCTCCAAACAGCAAGCTATCAAGGGCCAGTGAACACCTCCCAAATAGAGGATGCCTCCAGGCAACAGGAGCCAGGGAACCTCCAAATATCCTCCTCGGTTGACTTTGCAAACTTCATGGCTACTAAAATGCTAATTCAAGCTTGCCAATTGCAACATTTGTTGGAAATAGCAACCTTCTACAAGCCTCCTTGGAGGGAAGAATACTAGAGACAAAGTTGAAGTACTTTGGCCACATCATGAGGAGACAGCAAAGCCTAGAGAAGACAATTATGCTGGGCAAGGTGGAAGGTAAAAGGAAGAGGGGCCGACCAAGGGCAAGATGGATGGATGGCATCCTTGAAGTGACTGGACTGACTTTGAAGGAGCTGGGGGTGGTGACGGCCGACAGGGAGCTCTGGCGTGGGCTGGTCCATGAGGTCACGAAGAGTCGGAGACGACTGAACGAATGGACAACAACAACAACAAGCCTCCTACACTACTTATGTGTTATGTATATAAATCAGATGCCTTACTGTATTGCGTATGAAGCTTTCCTTAACTCTATGTTGTGAGAGGGGCTGCAGACCATGTGACCAGATCTGGGACTATTCAGGACTCTGACTCTATTTTAGAAAGGCAGAAGCCATTAGACCAGTGGTTCTCAACCTGGGGTCCCCAGATGTTTTTGGCCTTCAATTCCCAGAAATCCTAACAGCTGGTAAACTGGCTGGGATTTCTGGGAGTTGTAGGCCAAAAACATCTGGGGACCCCAGGTTGAAAACCACTGCATTAGACTTTCAATGTAGAGACTTCAGTAGAAACAGTATGCTGAATACATGAAGTGTGTGAGTAAACCAACTATGTCATTTTAACGAAGACTACTTATTTTTGGTCTCTTGAGAGCATTATTCAAACCAAGATGTTTTAAGGGAGAGTAGATGTTTCTGGGCAACTGAAAGAAATGTCTGAAAGAACTTTGTGCTATATACACACACACACACAGGTGTGTGTGTGTGTGTGTGTGTATAAATCTTTATTTATACCCCGCCACCATCTCCCGAAGGGACTGGGATGGCTCACAAAGCACTCAAAGGTGCAAACATGCAATATACAAAAAGTGCAAAGACAACAACACAAAGCAACAAGAACAAATATAATCACAAAACTCCCCTGATGAAGATCAATAAAATGCAACAATAGCTGCAGAATATAAAACAAACTGCAATCAATATATGTTTTGATGCACTGGCACATCTTTGTTCCTAACAGTTCAAAGCAATATCTAGGTATTTCAGTTTATCAGCTGAAGGCCTATCCAGACAGTACTTTTACCCCAGGAGCTCCACAACAAACAGGAGGGTGGCCAAACGCCATTCCCTGTAAATGCGGAAGCAATCACTACAAACAGCAAAAAGCACAAGATTTTCAGGTGCAGGAATATCCCAGTTCTGAGCCGAAAATCCGCACCTTTGAATGTCTGTATATCCCTGCACCTGGAAAAAACGGGGTTTTTTATCTGGGTTTATTGCCGGGTTTTAGATGTTTTTCCTGATTGGTCGGTCCCTAAAAAGAAGGTGACAGTTGAGAAGAAGTCGAAAACTTTGTTTGTGTGCCAGAAACTTCATGAAGCGTGTGGAGGGCACATTTTCTCTGGCCAGGACAAAGTTGTGGCCCCCTGGTCAACACTGTACATCTTTTCACAATAAGCAATCAGGAACACACACATATAACCTAGGAACAACAATCTGTTGTTCCATGCCAGAAGTACACAACCAAATCTGTCTGCACAGATGCCAGGCAGGCAGGCTCTAAAAAGTGTCAATAATGACAAAGTTCTATTCCTGGCTTGAAAGTGTTTGTTCCTGTTTGATTGTGTAGTGCTGACTTGGGCAGAAGTTGTCCTAGCCCATTAAATTTGTTTGTGTGTCAAAAACTTCATGAAACATATAGCTTGCAAAGTTTCTGCAGCCATTACAAAAAACGGGACTTTTGAGACTATTCGAATCTTCGCATATTCGTATCTTTTTGTTTTTAAAATTCCACCGAAGTTTCTGGCGGATGTCCTGTGGCAGCCATTTTGGGGGCAGCAAAATCCTGGGACAAAGCAGCAAGCGTGGACGACAGAGGCAAAAATCCCGGGACATCTTCTCAGGTCCCAGGTTTTTTGTTTGTTTGTTTGTTTTTGGCCTTGACTAAAGAACGTGAACCATCCTGAGAAACCTAATCGCCTTGCATGAATACTAGTGGATATATTATTTACCATAAAGAGAAGGTTAACACAAGCAAGTTTTTAACTCTTCTCAAGGAGATTCCATTTCCCAAAAGCTTATGGTGAATGCCATTTTCCAAAAGGTTATGATCTAAAAACTCATGCCTTTCCAAAATAATTCACACTTGCTTCAAAAGACAAGGGTTCTTCCACACTGGACATTATTCCACAGATAGATAGATAGATAGATAGATAGATAGATAGATAGATAGATAGACAGACAGACAGACACACATGTCATTGTTTATTGATGCGTAATTACTTAGTATATTATTGTGTTAATTGTTTTAAATGGTTTGTATGATGCTAGCATTGAATTTTTGCTCCTGCTGTTGTTAACCGCGTTGAGTCGCCTACGGGCTGAGCAACTGTGGTATACAAATAAAGTAAATAAAATAAATAAATAAATGTCAGGACCCAGTTTCCAGGGCCTTGGTTTTGGCACCAGGAACCAGGGTTCTGACGTAGGACACTGATAAGACACATGCAGCTGCTGACCCTGAAAGAAAACGGCCAGCGGTTTGGCGGTTGAATTACACGGGGTTTTGTGCTTGGTGGGAAAACATTTTTGAGTAAGGGGGAGCCGGCAGGTGCCAGGCAATCTCATCTTTTTGCATGTCTATGTTTCCAGCAGTAAAGTTTCTCTTTTATATCAGAGCGTGGTGCTGTGTTTTCACTGGGAGCAGCCGCTGTGAGCTGACACACACACATTCTACTTGCCTCACTGCCAACAGAACCTCTGCCATTAGCCCCAGATGCAGGTGAAACGTCAGGAGAGAATGATGCTTGGAACATGGCCAGACAGGCCAGGAAACTCATAGCAACCCAGTGATTCTGTCCATGAAAGCCTTTGACAACACATAGTCCTAATGAACAGTGATTCATACCTTTCACAATCAGTTCTGCAAAGTTGGAAACACCAGACCCCCTGCTGGACTGCGTGACACAGCGATAGAAATCCTGGTCTCCCTTGGAAACTTTCTCCAGCTGAAAGGTAGCCATGAATCTCCGATGGCTGATGTGTTTCACTGAAGCAGCAAGGACGGTCTCTCCATCCTGCCTCTGCTGTTCAGAATTGGAATAAATAAACAGATACAGAAATAAATGGCCCCGCCAAGGAAGGAGTTATTAGTTCCTCGCATCTTTTGTGGGATTACAATATCTTTGACACACAGAGCCTCTTTGATCCTTCTTGCCTTTCAATCTTTCCTTTTACAAGCCCAGTTCTGTATACAGCTGCACAGGAAAAACACATCTCCATCGAAGATTGAACCATGTTGTCACGGACAAAAATGGGAGTTCAACAGGGCACACCAAAACTTCGTTGAAACGCAACTCTCGGTGGAGACAGATTTTCTTTTCAGTGGTAATATTACAGCTAGAACCAAAGTGCCAGTGTGCTAATGTGAGAATGCAACACAGTTGATCGGATTAAATATGTATTCAGACTTGGCTCTGTGCTTCCTGATTTGAGAACTTAGGCTTGGTAGTGTTGTAATATTTTAATGGCTAATATTTTAATCTATATATAAATAAAAATGTAATGTTCGTTTGTGGGATTAACAAAACTCAAAAACCACTGGGGGAATTGACACCAAATTTGGACACAAGACACCTAACAACCCAATGTATGTCCTTCACTCATAAAAACACTGAAAAACACAGCAGAAGGGACTAAAAAGCCCCAAAAAGCTAAATGACAAAAAGCTAAATGACAATACAGAAAAAAGGGAAGAAAGAGGGAGGGAAGGGGAGAAAAAGAAAGAAAGAAAAGAAAGGGAGGGAAAGAAAGAAGGAAAGGGAGAAGGAAGCATGGAAGCAAAGAGAGAAGGAAGGAAGGAAAGAGGTAGAGAAGGAAGAAAGGAAAAGAGGGAGGGAAAGAAAAAGGGGAAGGAAGGAAAGTTAGAGAAGGAAAGAAAAAGGAAAGAAGGAAGGAAAGAGGGAGCGAAGGAAGGAGGAAGAAGATGTAGGAAAGAGGGAGGGAAAGGAAAGAAGGAAAGAGAGAAGGAAGAAAAGAGAGACAGAAGAAGAGAAAGAAAAAGGGGAAAGGAAGGAAAGAGATAGAGAAGGAAGAAGAGAAGGAAAGAGGGAAGGAAAGAGGGAGTGAAGGAAGGAGGGAAAGAAGGAGAGAAAGAGGGTTGGCCACAGCAAAGCATGGCGGGTACAGCTAGTCTATATAAATAAAAATGTAATGTTTGTTTGTGGGATTAACATAACTCAAAAACCGCTGGACGTAGCATTTATTGGATTTTCTTGGTGGGTTTGTAGATAACGTACAAACAATCTACAAACCCACCAAGAAAATCCAACAAATGCTACGTTCAGCAAAGGACAAGAGGGATCCTCTCACCTCTGCAGGAGTCTACTGTGTACCATGCAGCTGTGGACAAGTCTACATAGGGACCACCAAATGCAGCATTGCCCAAACATGAATCAAGGAACATGAAAGGCACCGCAGACTACTTCAACCAGAGAAGTCAGCCATAGCAGAGCACCTGATGAACCAACCTGGACACAGCATATTATTTGAGAACACAGAAATGCTGGACCACTCTAACAACCACCATGTCAGACTACACAGAGAAGCCATTGAAATCCACAAGCATGTGGACAATTTCAACAGAAAGGAGGAGACCATGAAAATGAACAAAATCTGGCTACCAGTATTAAAAAACTCTAAAATTACAACAGCAAAACAGCAGAGAGGAAACAACCAGGCACATCTTAACACCTCTCAACAGAACATTTTCCCAGGCTCAGCCAGGCCTTCAAATGCTAATGAAGGTGGTCAGCTGAAACATTCACACCTAGCTTCAGCAGAGAGCTCTTTGCCCCACCCCAGCCATTCCACAGATATATAAACGCATTTTTCTATTTCCAACAGACCTCACTACCTCTGAGGATGCTTGCCATAGATGCAGGCGAAACGTCAGGAAAAAATGCCTCTAGAACATGGCCCTATAGCCCGAAAAAACCTACAAGAACCTAATTATTATAATTATTATTATTAAGGCTGGATGGCCATCTGTTGGGGGATCTTTGTGTGTTTCCTGCATGACAGAAGGGGGTTGGATTGGATGGCCCCTGGGGTTGCTCCTATTATTGTTGTTAGTATTATTATTACTACTACTATTACTACTATTATTATTAAACAAGATTATTATACAGCAAACCAGATCACTTTGCTGGCTTTTGTATTTGATCACACGTCAGACACAGAAGTGCCTAGGACTGTGTGATGTATCGGTGAATAATGCATGCAGATCCAAGTAGGGCGATATTTTGCAGCTGACAGATGGTGATTTTGTCAGCGCCAATTGTTTTTAAGTGTAGGCCAAGGTCTTTAGGCACTGCACCCAGTGTGCCGATCACCACTGGGACCACCTTGACTGGCTTGTGCCAGTCTTTGCAGTTCTATTGTGCTTTTCCTGCATGACAGAAGGGAGATGAACTGGATGGCCCCTGAGATTGCTCCTATTATTATTATTAAGGCTAGATGGCCATCTGTTGGGAGGGCTTTGATTGTGCTTTTCCTGCAGAATAAAGGGGGTTGGACTGGATGGCCTCTGGGGTCTTCCACTGAAATATTGCTAAGTTTATGTTGTTTAAAATTGCTCTTCGTTTTAAATATTGCTTTTTTGCTTTTGTGGCATGGTGTGAATTTGTTTGCACAAACACTTTCCATCCATCTGGCAATGACCTGGTCCATGCCTGATATATAATATAATATATAATATAATATATAATGTATACACATTTCTTGGGACTCCACGAGAAACTTTTGCTTCAAAAAATTTATATCCCGCTTTTTCTCTCCACAAGGAGACTCAAAGCTGCTAACTTTTTGAAACCTAGAATATATAAATATTAAAACAGTATTAAACATCATTAGTATTAAAACAATTAAGATTAAATCCATAAAAACATTTTTAAAAAGAACCCAGAAATCAGAAGGCCCATTCTAACTATTCCAGTAATTACCTAGTACAGGCATGGGCAAACTTCGGTCTTTCGGTGTTTTGCACTTCAAGTCCCATATTTCTGGCTGTTAGGAATTATTTATTTATTTTATTATTATTTATTTACTGCATTTCTATACCGCTTTCTCACCCCTAGGGGGACTCAAAGCGGTGTACAGCATAATAATTGGCAAAAATTCAATGCCTCACATACTAATAAAAACAATACATTACATATCAAAAACAATAACATATAACTGTAAATTAAAATCATTAAATTGTCCGACATGATTTTTTTGCCAGTTTTCAATTACCGATCATGTAGACAGTGCAAAGTTTGTGATGAGGACCAGAGCCATCAAGGCTGCCCAAAACAATCAGTAAGGAGTTGATGGAAAAGCCTCTAGATATTTTTACTATATTTGCTCGAGCCTATTGTGCCACTGAATCTAATGCACAGCTCAAATTTCAAAACCCTGAAACTCAAAAAAGTATTTGCCACATTATACAAATCTAATACAATCCCTAATTTTGGGAAGGTAATCTAGTAAAAAAAGGTGAGCATTAGAATCAAGTAAATACAGTGATTATTTGCAGAAACAAATGATATGCTGAAAGGACACAGGGGAACAGAGAGCCCATAATGCAGCAGAAACCATCTGGGTAGAGAAATAGGAATGCCCATGTTCAGGAGTCCTGACGGCTGGCTGTTCCATGCAACACCTACCTGCATGAGGAACTTCTCTGCTTCGGAAGCTTTGCCAGCAGCAACACAGTGAAACGAGGCATTCTGCCCAGCATTCACCTCCACATCGGCCAGGCGGGAAAAATGAGGAGCTTTGGCTGCCAGAATACAGAGCAAAAGAAAAATTTAAAAACACATTTATATACACTGCATATCTTGTGTAAATGTTAACTTCGTGTATAAGTCAAAGGCAAGTTGAGGACAAAAAATAAGAATGTTGACAGCAGGCTTTGGGGCCAAAATTATGACCTCAGTAACTCAACGAGACTTGACCTCGCAACTGTTTAGAACCTTGTTCCCATTCATAAAATGGATATAACAACCTCAGGCAGCTGTATTACAGGAGGCGAGAAGTGAAACTGTAACTTCAGTCTAGTTGGCTCTCCGCATTTGTTGGCTTAATTTTCCTATGTTTGATTATTCATGGATTATTTATGTTTATATTTTATTGATTGCTTATTATTATCTATATATATATATAAATGCGCTGTGCATAATGAGTTCCTTAAAAACGAAAGAACCAATGAACGAAATCACACCAATTTGGCAACAAAATGTCTCACAACACAAGGAGTGACCATCACTCAAAACTTATGATTTTGTCATTTGGGAGTTGTAGTTGTTGGGATTTATAGTTCACCTACAATCAAAGAGCATTCTGAACTCCATCAACGATGGAATTGAACCAAACATGGCACACAGAACTCCTATGACCAACAGAAAATTTGGAAGGGTTTGGTGGGCATTGGGAGTTGTAGTTCACCTACATCCAGAGAGCACTGTGCACTCAAACAATGATGGATCTGGACCAAACTTGGCACAAGCACTCAATACACCCAAATATGAACACAGATGGAGTTTGGGGGAAATAGACCTTGACATTTGGGAGTTGTAGTCACTGGGATTCACAGTTCACCTACAATCAAAGGGCATTCTGAACCCCACGAACAACAGAATCGGGGCAAACTTTCCACACAGAACCCCTATGACCATCAGAAAATACTTAAGGCCATCCAATCCGACTCCCTTCATCAGGACAAGAAAACGTAAACAAAGTCCTCCTGACAAAGAGCCATCCAGTCATAGAGATAGATAGATAGATAGATAGATAGATAGATAGATAGATAGATAGATAGATAGATAGATAGATATGATTCACACACACAGAGATATAATATCATAGATTTGAAAGGGACCCTTAAAGAAGGACAATGATATGTTGCATGTTCCAGGGTGGGCAAACCAGACACTCTCCACATCAACACTGACAAAGAAAGAGCAAGAAATACTGTTTACCCGCAAGCATAAAGAAATTACATATATTAGAAACCAACACTTTCTCATTACTTTGTTTTCCAGATCAACAGACTGGGTCATAGCAAGGCGTGGAAGGGGACAGCTAGTGTTTTATATTTGTGCCTTTGATTGTTGCTGATTTTGTACTGTAACTCAATACAAAATGGGTTAAATCCTTGTGCTGCTGAACTGCTGACGTGAAGGTTGGCAGTTCGAATCTGCGGGACAGGTGAGCTCCCGCTGTTAGCCCTAGCTCTTGTCAACATAACAGTTCGAAAACATGCAAATGTGAGTAGATCAGTAAGTAACGCTTCGGCAGGAAAGGCATAAGACGCTCTAAGCAGTCATGCCAGTCACATGACCAGGAGGTGACAATGCAGGCTTCTTGGCTTGGAAATGGAGAATAGCACCTCCCCAGAGCCAAAGATGAGCTGGAAATGCAAAAAGATGCCTCTGCCTTTGTTTGTGTGTCTCATTGCATTGTAACAAGGCACTGAATGGGTTGTTGTAGGTTTTTTCGGGCTATATGGCCATGTTCTAGAGGTATTCTCTCCTGACGTTTCGCCTGCATCTATGGCAAGCATCCTCAGAGGTAGTGAGGTCTGTTGGAACTAGGAAAATTGGTTTATATATCTGTGGAATGTCCAGCGTGGGACAAAGAACTCTTGTCTGATATTGTGTGATATTCGCATGTGCACATATATGGAGCCAGCGCATAACAGAGTGATTTTTAAAAACCCAATTTTCTGCTGGATATTCCCCGTCTGCCCTCCATCTTGTTCCAATACAAAGGAAACCTGTGCAGCCAGCGAGGAACCCAATCCTGGGACTGATGAGTTTGTGTGTGGAACTGCTATCAGGTCCCGAGATTTTTTGACTCAGCTATCAAATGCAGATTTTGGCGCTGCCTGGAAGCACCCTGACGCATGGTGTCTCAATTCATCCAACTTTATAGGAAACATTCCTCTATTCCAGCGGTTCCCAAACTTTGGTCCTCCAACTTCAGTTTCCAGAGGCCACAAGTAGCTTGGCCAACAGGCACTGATTCTGGAAACTGCGTCCAAAACATCTGGCAGCTTAAGGAATCTGTGAGGAGCCAGTGTCCCCCATCAGATTGAAAATGGGGATCAAGATACTGAAAGACTTACAGCAGGGATAATTCAAGAGCAGAATGTCATCCATTCCTATGTAGCCTCGGCGTTCACTGGAAATCACAGCCTCAAACAGCACCTGTGAAAATCCAGACACATGTCTTGTCATGCCCCATATAACTTAGCAAGTCTGATGAGATCTCCTGAGATTAACTTGCATGCCTAGAAATGTATTTCAAATTTTTGTCTGCTTTTAAGGTAGGGATGTAACCATATGTCTGTCACATACACAGCCACACAACAACAAAATTGGTATATACAACAAGAGGAAGTCACAGATAAAAAAGAAAACATACCGTATATACTCGAGTATAAGCCAAGTTTTTCAGCCCTTTTTAAAAGCTGAAAAAGCCCCCCTCAGCTTACACTTGAGTGAGGGTCTTGGCATGAAGGCATGGGGCTGAAAGAAGCCCTTCTTTAAGCCCCACACCTTCCCGCCAGGACCCTCACCTTTCCGCACAGCAACTCAGCTCCAAAATGAGGAGTTGAAGGAAACCAGGGGATAGATTAGCGCAACGAGAGGAGAATTGTGAGAGGCACGTGCATGGCGAGAGGAAGAGGGAGAGAGGCATGCACGAGAAGGGAGGCTGCACGCCTCTCCCTCCTCTTGCCACACGCGCCGGCCCCTCCCTCTCTCCCTCTCAGTCATTCAAATGTACATGACTGAAAGAAAACTGTAGCCATATCATTGTGGATTCATTCTTCTTGATGTCAAATCTTTACTCACTCACAGGATGGATAAAAGTGAATATTTTTTTTCTATTCTGCCCTCCTCATGTTTATAATAGTGGTACCAAAATCTCTTTCTTTGTGCTTCATATATAGAGGACCAGGCATCAACAGTGGTTCCCAGGTGGAGAATTTCTCTGGGATGGCTCTTGGTGTCACTAAAAATTCCTTGTCCAAGAGCCCCTCCCAACTGCTGGATTTGGATAAAATTAACCAGGGATTAGAATGAATTGAAATACTTAAGCGATCCCTCTTAGCTCGAGGATGATGGTGTTTCAGATGTGGTGTCTTGGTGGTGGGTTCGTAGGTGGCTGTGGAGCCGTATTCTTGATCTGCATCTTCTCCCGCAGTGAGGACATCGGATTCGAGACAGAAGGCGGTCCGGGTCTGAGTTGACTTGATGCGCCTTTCCCTTGGCACGTTTCTCCCTCTTGTCCTCTGTTCGTGCCTCTTCAAATTCTGCATCTCTGCTCGTCACAGCAGTTAGAGCGCTCAAGGGCCAGGGCTTCCCAGTTCTCGGTGTCTATGCCACAGTTTTTGAGGTTGGCTTTAAGCCCATCTTTCAATCTCTTTTCCTGTCCACCAACATCTGTTTCCTGTTGTTGAGTATGGAGTAGAGTAACTGCTTTGAGAGACAGTTATTGGGCATTTGGACAACATGGCCAGTCCAGCGGAGTTGATGGCGTAGGAGCATCGCTTTAATGCTGGTGGTCTTTGCTTCTTTCAGCATGCTGACATTCATCCGCCTATCTTCCCAAGAGATTTGCAGGATTTTTTGGAGGCAATGCTGATGGAATCATTCCAGGAGTTGCATATGATATCTGTAGACATCAGGCATATAACAGGGTTGGGAGGACAACAGCTTTATAAAAAAGCACCTTGGTCTCCCTACAGATATCCCAGTCCTCAAACACTCTGTGCGTCATTCAGAAAAATGCTGCACTCACAGAGCTCAGGTGGTGTTGTATTTCAGTGTCAATGTTGACTTTTGTGGAGAAGTGGCTGCCAAGGTAGAGGAAATGGTCAATATTTTCTAATATTACACCATTAAGCTGTATTTTTGGCATTGCAGAGGGATTGACTGGTGACTGCTGGAAGACCACTTTGGTTTTCTTGATGTTCAATGAGAGGCCAAGCTTCTCGTATGCTTCTGCAAAGGTGTTTAGAGTGGATTGTAGGTCTTCTTCTGAATGCGCACAGGCATATGTCAGCATATTGGAGTTTTATAACAGATGTTGTGACCTTAGTTTTGGCTTTCAGTCTGGTGATGTTCAAGTTCAAGTTCACTTTATTATGGTCAATGATCAGCTCATGAGAAGAGGAACACAGTCGCACACAAACACATCAGGTCTAAGGGTCAAGAGATTTAAAACTTTAAAACTTCAATAAAGCTTTAAAACTGATGAGGTTAAATCTGTCCAATAGATTATTTTCATTCTGGTGGGAAGCTTCCCATCAATACGACGAAGTATCATAGCAATGAAGATGGAAAATAAGGTTGGGGCAAGAACACATCCTTGTTTGACTCCTGATTCCACCTTAAATGGGTCACACACTGAATTTCCCTCAGAATGTATAGTTAAAGTAAACTATGGTGATTATTTGAAGGATACGTAAGCACATTAACATTGAAGAAGGTCAGAATAATGATTTGGAAGACTCTTCTTTCCATCCCCACCATCCTGAGATATGGGAGAGGCCTTCTAAGTAATTGCTCTGGAACGCCCCAGAAAAGTAGCCTGGGCGTCTTCCTTGCTATCTTTTTCTAGATAAGTGAAGATCCTTTGGTTTCATTGCAGACAAAAAAAGACCTTTCATGGACTGTTCTTATTTCTAATGATGTGTATTTTATTTGATTTTAGTTATATTTTAAACTTTTGCATAATGTAAACAATACCTGTATCTATTTTATCTCCTGTATGTAAACCTGGAGTCCCAGACTGGGAGAAAGTATCAACAATAATTAATTAATAATTATGGTAATCATTTTCATCCTTTCAGTTCCACTCTGCATGTCTGTAGGGCCCATTTGTTTGAGGTGGCTTCTGCCCCAGAATTCCAAGCTTTCAGCCTCCACAATAATGGTTTAATCAGAGTTGGACAGTCTTATCTTAAATTACAGTTTTATGTAAATATTCAAAAACATTGACCCTACTGATGTTGCAATTAATGTAATTGTATTGGTATCTATTTTTATTTTGACATTTACCAGTAGCTGCTGCATTTCCCATCCTCATTTTCCCAGTTTTTTGTGGTAAAATTAGATGCCTTGAGTTATATTCGGGTCAGCTTATACTCAAGTATATATTCGGGTCAGCTTATACTCAAGTACTAATCTCAATAATAATACTAATCTCAATAATAATAAAATTTGTGACAGTCTCACAAAAGAATGCATCAGTTTTGTTCAGAAAATAGGGAATTTTATACCACCCTTGCCACTGGGAACACAGTGAAAAAATGGAATTCCTGTATTCCATCCGTATATTATCATATCTGGGGCAATCAATCAAACAAAGAATGGTGAAGTGTTTCAACAGAGGCCAAGTCACAAGAACAAACTTTACTTTGCTGCCATTTCAACCAAGCTGCATTCATTCATTTATGATGTATTTGATTGTACTATAATAAATGTCTGAATCAATGTTACATGATAAATAAACGTCAATAAATGTTACTCTCTTTCTAAGTTTGGGCATAACAGTTTGCTCACCTGGTACTCATTGGGCCAAAACATGCTCACAGCCAGCTCCACTTGGTGCCACTGACGCCCATGGGATCCAGAGGCATTCCAGACCACACTGCCCAGAGGACCCCCATTCACCTTCACATAGACATTCAGTGTCCCAGGGCTATGGCCGTCACGGCTGTACATGAAGTAGCTGAACTGGAGGCAATGGGTGTCATTCTCGCTCAGCGCCTGGAAGAGGATCTGCGCTTTCTGCCCTTGAGCATGCTGGGAAGAGTTGACCATCAGATAGGAGCCTACAGCAAAGTACAAGGCAAGACATATTGTGCATACAGATGAGCATACATGACATACTGGCCTTCTGAATTGCTAAAAAGGCATGGTCCCATTTGGAAACAAATCCCCTTTTCATGAAAATTTTGTTCAATTTTCCAGTTTCATGCAGCACAAAATATGTTACACATTATCAGTATTAGTGCACCTCTACTTAACAGAAAATGTTTCACCTGCATGAAAAGGAGAAAGGGTCAGAAAATAATGTGAGCTATTGTTGTTTTTTTTTGTTTTTTTTTTGGGGGGGGGGTTGCTGTTTATTTGTCCAGTCGCTTCCGACTCTTGGTGCCCTCCTGGACCAGCCCACGCCAAATGTCCCTGGCAGCTGTCACCACCCCTAGTTCCTTCGAGATCAGGTCAGTCCCTTCAAGGATACTATCCACCCATTTTGCCCTCTTCCTTTTTCCTTCCATTTTCCCCAGCATCCTTCTCTTCTCCAAGCTTTCCTGTCTTCTCATTATGTGGCCAAAGGACTTCATCTTTGCCTCTAATATCCTTCCCTCCAATGAGCAGCGGGCATTATTTGCTGGAATATGGACTGGCTTGATCTTCTTGCGGTCCAAGGCACTCTCAGAATTTTCCTCCAACACCACGGTTCCAAAGCGCCTCTTTTCGTTCACTCAGCCTTCCTTATGGTCCAGCTCTCGCATCCATAGGTTACTTCGGGGAATACCATTTCTTTAACTATGAGGATCTTCACTGCCAGTGTGATGTCTCTACTCTTCACTATTTTATCAAAATTGACCATTGCTCTCTTCCCAACAAGGAAACCTTTTCTGATTTCCTGGCTGCAGTCTGCGTCTGCAGTCATCTTCATGCCTAGAAATGCAAAATCTGTCACTGCCTCCACGTTTTCTCCCTTTATTTGCCAGTTCTCAATCAGTTGCTCTGCTGCTGAGTATGAATGCCCAGTGTGGAACACATATCACCACGCTAAAACAGTGGATGTGGCTTTTATTAGACATCTTGCATTATCATGAGGTGTCTGCACCCTACACCTCTGCAGAAATTACACTGTTTAGCCGGTACTGCACCACCTGACATCCGCCAGGGAGTAACAACCAATAGTGAAAGGATCAAGGCAGTGACATCTCCGACCCACCCCGTTTGGGTATCAGCCAGCACGCCAACGACTTAAATCAAGAAAAAGTTTTCTAAGATCTACAGCAACGCTCGCTGGAACACCTCAGCAAGCGAGAGTCCAAAAATGGCAGGCTCAAACCCAGAACCTCAATCAATGCCTAATACGAAATGAGAGACTCCCCCCTGGACACACAGAAAACTGGGTGACTTGGAAGGTGCTGAACAGACTGCGCTGTGGCACCACGAGATGCAGAGCCAACCTTAATAAATTGGACTACAAAGTAGAATCCACTACATGCGAATGTGGAGAAGAGCAAGCCACAGACTACTTACTGCAATGCAACCTGAGCCCGGCCACATGCACAATGGAGGACCTTCTTGCAGCAATACCAGAAGCACTCCAAGTGGCCTGCTACTGGTCAAAGGACATTTAATAGAATACCAAATCTGAAACTTTGTATTTTGTTTGTTTGTTTGTTTTTAATGCAATACAACTGTTTTGGTTCACTCCCGACATGATAAATAATAATAAAATCAGTCTGGTTGCCATCATCTTGGTTTTCTTGATATTTAACTGCAACCCTGCTTTTGCACTTTCTTCTTTCACCTTGGTTAGAAGGCTCCTCAGCTCCTCCTTGCTTTCAGCCATCAAAGCAATATTATCCACATATCTAAGGTTGTTAATGGTTCTTCCAGCAATTTTAATATTACTTTTATATTTATTTTTTTATTCGTTTATTCATTCCCTGCTTTTCCCTCTATAAGGAGACTAAGGGCCCATCCAGACAGTACCTTTATCCCAGTAGCTCCCAGTTCAAACTAGCATTTGGCCAAACTATATTCCCTGAAAACACAGGTGGAATCGCTACAAAGGAGGGAAACCACGGAATTAAAAAAAGGCCCTTTTATCCCGTTTCTGGCCAGAAGAACCGGTTCTTCATGTGTGTGTGTGTGTGACCAGGCATTCCCAAAAACATGTGTTTTCCTTCCCTTCCTCCTGCCCGGGCTTCCTCCCTGGCTCCTCCCCCCCCCCCCCCCCCCCCCCCCTCAGCTTACCTCCCTGGAAGAAGCCTTGGAGCAGAAATCCCCCCTCCCCTCTCCAAAGCCCTCTTTCGGCTCTTCCAAGGGAGGGGGGCTCCAGGCCTTGTCAGAGTGGAGTGGGGGAGGGGGAGGCTGGAAGGGTCCATGATGGCACCCCTCCTTATCTTGGATCACTAGTGGTGATTATCTGGACACCCGCCCCCCTGCAAAACCCCAGGGTTTAGGCCAGCTGTGTGGCCTCCATCCCAAGTGGAACTGGGATTTAAAATTCCAGATCCTCTCGGATCTTTTGCCTGTCTGGAACCACTTTCAGTACAGAAGTCTAGAAATGCAACTCACTTCCTAACTGCAAGATGAGTTCAACAGGAGGAAGTCTGCAACTTTTCTGACTACAAACTGAGCACACCATCAATAAATACAAAACTGGGGTTTTTGGAAAGGCATTATCAATATTAATAGTACTGAAACTTGAAAACAACAAAAATATCTCATTCATTTAAATCTTTTAATTGTTAATTTCATTTACTCATTTAATTTGCGCAGCAAACTATGATTCTTGTTTTCTAGGATTTTTCACCGGACTAATTCGAATGAAGGAAGAATGAAAACAGCAATCAAAAGTATGCAAACAAACACATGAACCATTCTTGCCTCCTACTGGAAGGAGTGATGATCTGTTCAACAGTTCAATAGGGGCCTCATATGTGTGCATATGTGTCTTCATGTCACCTTTCAACTTATGTGGACCCACTGACTTTGATACAGGATTATTAGAAAAGGAAAATTCATAGAGTCATGGAATCACTGAATAACAGAGTTGGAGTAGACCATGTGGGCCATCTAGTCCAACCTCCTTCTGCCATGCTGGAAAAGCACCATCGAAGTACCCCCAACAGATGGCCATCCAGCCTCTGCTTAAATAAAAGCTTCCAAGGAAGGAAGCTTTTAAGCAGCTCACAACTAAAAGCATTTCAATACAACTTAAGATATAGAAATATACAAATATTAAAACAACATTAATATTAAAAAATCTAGGTAAAAACCATAAAAACATATCAAATCACATCACAAAATCATTGCAGTCCTTGACGGCCTTAAACACACTTTGTTTGGTATAGTTTGGTACAACATAAAATAAATACAGTACACAAAGAAGCATCAGGATTCCAGCATAAATCCTATTATGAGGGGTGGGATGAAACCTGAAAGCTTTCATTTTCATTCAGAGTTGGAAACAGAGACCTCGTATCTGAACATCCTATTATGTAGACTCACCCATTGGCACTAAAGGGAAAATCCACTGACCTGGTAACACAAAGCAGTTCTTTGTCTGTAATTCAAGGAGAGGACTGTCCTTTCCAATGATGGCACAACTCAGCTAAGAAGCTCCGCTCATTGTTGTCTTGAAGTAAATCTTAATACTATTAATACTTCACAAACGACTCACTTTGCTCTGCCCAAAAGGGATCTTGCTCACTGATGCTTCACAAATTGGGAATCGTAATTCAAATGCACACATATGGTCACTCATAAGCATTTTGTTTTCAAGCAATAGTATCCACTTAACTTACAATGTGCTAAAAATCACCTTCTCTTTTACAGTAGAGTCTAAGTTTTAAATAAATTTAAATAATCAAAATGCGTCGCAAGGCTTTCCAAACTGAAACAGTCACGCTCTCACCGCCTTCCTCATTATTATTATATTTATTTGTTGTTGTTGTTGTTGTTGTTCATTCGTTCAGTCGTCTCCGACTCTTCGTGACCTCATGGACCAGCCCACGCCAGAGCTCCCTGTCGGCCGTCACCACCCCCAGCTCCTTCAAGGTCAGTCCAGTCACTTCAAGGATGCCATCCATCCATCTTGCCCTTGGTCGGCCCCTCTTCCTTTTACCTTCCGTTTTCCCCAGCATAATTGTCTTCTCTAGGCTTTGCTGTCTCCTCATGATGTGGCCAAAGTACTTCAACTTTGTCTCTAGTATCCTTCCCTCCAATGAGCAGTCGGGCTTTATTTCCTGGAGGATGGACTGGTTGGATCTTCTCGCAGTCCAAGGCACTCTCAGCACTTTCCTCCAACACCACCGTTCAAAAGCATCTATCTTCCTTCGCTCAGCCTTCCCTAAGGTCCAGCTCTCACATCCGTAGGTTACTACAGGGAATACCATGGCTTTGACTATGCGGATCTTTGTTGCCAGTGTGATGTCTCTACTCTTTACTATTTTATCGAGATTGGACATTGCTATATTTATTTATATCCCACTTTATCTCTCCTGCAAGAGGTTCAAAGCAGCTTAACATCAAAGCAGCAGCATACAAATTAAAATATACAAACATGCAAACATTAAAACAGGATTAAATATAAACAGAATTTTTAAAAATTCCCAGTTAAAAACCATTAAAACATATTCAAAGTTAAAACACATTAAAACATATTCAAAGTCCCTATGATGCTGGGGTTCAAAACCCATTCTGGGAAAAGAATGAGCTGCTCATAAAGTCTTGTATTTCTGGAATATGAACAAGTGACTTCTTCTGATATGACTTGAATACATCTAACTGGACTCCAAAAGCAGTATTACAACCATCACATCACACAGAGGCTCAAACCAATGACAAAGGGTGTTTGGAGGTTTCCAGTTTGTCCACTATCATTCTTCATGTCCTCATTTCCTTCTAAGCATTATTGCTTCAAAGAGCTTGTCAACACCACTCACTGCAAAGCCCCTGGTGTCTATCTCCATATATGAGTTTACACTGCCATGTAATCCAGTTCAAAGCAGATCATGTGGATTTTATACAACTGTGCAGAAGAGGCCTAAGAGTAGTTTCTTGACACTTGTCC